AACTGTACAAGTCTTCTACCATCTCTTTTTACTGCCTGATTCATTGGGGAAAATTCTGAGTTTCTTTCTATATCCGTTTCCAGGGGTGGGCTTCAAATAGTTTAGCAAAAGGTTCTCTGCCCAGTTGCTGGGTCAGCGTGGGCGTGGTGGGCGTGGCCTAGCCAGCCTCCTGCACTATGGGGAGGGGTGTGTTTTTGTCCTCCCTGGGCTCCGGAGGCTTTCCTTGAGCCTCCAGGAGGGTGAAAATGGCTTCCCCGGAGGCTCTCTGGAAGCCAGGAACAGGCCCATTTCCGGCCTTCCCAAGCTTCCGGGAGACCCGTTTTTCGCCCTCCCCGAGCCTCCATGTGCACCCTGCACTTACATGCATCCAAAATGGGCCGCGTGGGGACTCCTGGAAGGTGGGTGGGTGGGGCCAGCCAGGAATGGGATTTGGGGGTTCTCCAAACTGCACAGAATCTTAGCTAGGGGTCTCCTGAACCCCGGTGAACCCCCAGCATGATGATCAGATAAAAAGGGGGAATGCCCACAGCTGAGTAACGGTCACAGGGGTGGGCTACCCGTGTGACCGTTACTCAGCTGTGGGCATTCCCCCTTTTTATCTGATCATTCCCTATGCAGAATCTCCCCCTCCCCCCTTACAAAGTCATTTTCACATTCCATTATACATTCCCATAATCATAATTATTATTTCACCTTATGTTTATTCTTTTATGGAGGTGGATATTCACTGCTTTGATAATTGTTGTTGCAGAAATTATGCCAGAGTATTGTTAAATAGCTCTGTTCAGTGTGTGTTTGAGGAAAAGTGATATGAGGAGAGTTAAATATCAGACTGCCTATGCAAAATCTAACCTAAAGGTGTTGGACGTGGGGTGGTATCACTTTTTCTAAAGAACACAAAAGGAGAAAACTGGAGGAACTCATATATGTATGCAGGTTGCAAACACACATGCATACAATATCTACCAGAAGTAAAAATGTAAAATTATTAGTATCCCTTGTTCCCCTTAGGTTTAAAGGTAGTTCAAGGAAAAGCTTCATCATTTTAAGCCCTTAACCAGTTAATAGCAAAGAGGGAGAAAAATGAATTTGTGTCTTTTGGCTCCCAGATAGTTTAACAATACCTGTCCACGTATTCTGGCCATCTAAAAGTTCGTATATGAATCAATTGTTAATAAGCTGGAATAATAAAGCATAGCAAAGAGCTCAGTGCTGTAACCAAAAGCTTCACCTAATTAATTTCCTTTTTTTTTTTTTTTTACCATATGTCCTCTGGGACCTGCTTCTCAACTTTCTAGCTTTAGACTGTACAGCAGTATTTGCATGACAGATACTTTCAGTGTAAGGTTAACCCCACTTCTCACACTAAACTCCAATTTGTTACAGTTCCTGTTTTCATCATCATACGTACCCGAACGAAACATCTGACAATATCCCCCATTCCTGTTTGACTTTACACTGTCTGCCTTTGTTCATCTCATATGAATTGTAATTGCTACGGTAGAAGGATCCCATCAATAATGTACCTTCTCAGCTCCCAGTCATTGGAATGATATTAAAGGGCGCCGAAGATAAAATAGATGTTAAGTTCAAGTTGGAGAAAAGAAGCAGTCAAAAATGAAGGACAGAGGAAAATCCCCAAGCAACCCTGACCATCTCACCTGACCAAATGTTCCTTCTGGCATTTGTATGTCAAAGTTTGCTTTTGCTAGGTAAATATTACCTTAGAGGGCTGCTCTGGTATTCATAAGTAACAAGCTTTAGTCAAGGCTGTTAAACACCCCCATGATCGTGGCACAGAAGGTCTCCAGGGTGTTGGAATTTCTATAGCTGTGCCAAAGCCTGCTGCCCTTGGCCGTCATGGAGAAGGCCAAGGGCATCTTTCTCTTGGCTTGCTGCCCTCAGCTATCTGCTTTTCAGAACAAAGAGCACCCTCCTTTGACATTTCTGAAGCAGACCTTGCTAGCTTTGGCTTCCTCCTGACTTAATGGAAAGAAAACAAATACATGCCCAGTAGCAGTTACAGGGCAGTGTCGTACCTATCAGCATTCCTGCAAGAACGTGTGCAAAATTGTCCTTATTAAATATAAAATAAATAGTAACATAACCAAGCATAATGGGTAGAATTTCCTGCAAACTTCCTTATTCCTAGGATCCGTCTTATAGATATCAAAAAAATCCTGTGAATGCCAGCAGACTAAAATATATAGTAATTCACTTATCTATCACAAAATGTATCATTTTATGCATGTGTACTGTATATAAATCTCAATGTGTTTAGTTGGACTTGTTTTCATTTTCAATCAGTGCCATTTTCACCAAAAAATTGTTCTGTGTGAATTGATTTCAGAGATTTCAAAGAGAGAAAATAAATTGACAGAAATGCTGTGTAGAAAGAAGTTTATAGCTATGTGTTTTTTATTCTTTTTTATTCTTTTTGGCAAATCAAAATTTGTGACATTACTGATTTCATATATTTAAGTTTTGCAAAATAAGATATCTGTCCATCTTTTTAGCTTTTTGGACTAAGTTGGACTAAGTATGTTTTGTTACCGTTTAAGATGAGACTGTCGATTTCAAATAGTGAAAGAAAGTAGCTAAATATTAGCCCAAAAGTCTCTTCTTCCAATTAGAAAAATGGGGGATTTTTCGAAGCTTTTTGGGGGTCATAAACAGAGTGCAGCAGTTGCTATTTTGTCTTGCAAAGTACGGTACAGTCTAATAACTGCTTATATGAGCTCTACTGTTTGAATGCTTAGCGTTCAAAGTTCCCTTTAGGTTGAAGTATTGCAACAGTTTAAGGGTGGGCAAAGTTTTGATTCCAAGAGGCCACCTATAATTTGGAATGAGAAGTCCACATTGAATAGAGGAATAAAACAAAAGGCTGATGGATAAATTCTCTTTTTTTAATTTCATCAGTGGGAAGGACCATGGAGTCTTTTTTAGTTAAGTTGAATCTGTTTTAAGAATGACATTATTGATTTCATATATTTTCATTTTCGACTTTGCTACTGATTTTTGTCTTTTAGCTCAAAGGGAACTTGGAAGGTTAGGAAAAAAAAAACTGTAGAATTTTGCCACAGATTGCTTTATTTATCATTTGTTGAACAAATGACAGTGATTTACTTCACTCCTGAAGCTAATCCATTCGGACATCATGATAAGCCCAAACCAAATTTCAGCCTGGGTGTGTCCTGCAAACCAAGCAGGGGGATGTTTCCCAATAACAGTTCTTGGCATTACCATCAAAGGACATTGTGCATCTGTTCCATCTTCCCTTATTGTATTTTATCAAGAAAATGAGATAGATATAATAAAAAAGCACAGCAAAACATACCTAGCATTCTTCAGTTGAGACAGGGCAATTGCACTCCGTAAATGTCTTATCTGCTTTGACCACACTAAGCAAGATAGTTTTGTTAAAATATCAACATAAACACAAACACATCCAGTAGATTTCCCAATATTCTTCCCAAATGTTGGTGTCAGCACTGAAAATATTTTGTGCTAGGCATACGGTATATCTCCTTGGAAGTCTTCTAAACTGGAAACCTTAGGCTGGCTCACAAGGGCATGGGAAATCAACCATAAAGATCTTGTTATTATAGGATAAAGTGATTGTGGAAATGAGCAGTGACATTGTTGTTCAGGACTACTGTATGTGTTCAATCTCAACTTGGTTATGATTATTTTTAGTACTGATCTCTTAAAAATGCCAATACCAAGGCTTTTCCTAATATAAATTGCTTCATGGGAAAGGCGATTTTAGTGAAATTTTTGCTGAACAACTCATAGGATTGACGTTTAGTTGAAAATGTAATAATTATGCTTTTCCTAAGATAATGTATAATTAGGCTTTCATTCCCATTTGTTTAATAAAGATACAATGATAATGTTCTGCTTTTAAAGAAGTTGCATTTGAATTAATGTCAGTACTTTAAAAAGCTAATTATACTGGGTCTTATTTGGTGAGTGGGTATAGTTTGGAACCATATAAAAAAAGATGCCCTTGAGAAACTTTGCTTCTAGTTGTTCCAAACTCATTCCAGCTATTGGCTTTTCTGACTTGGACCAGAGGTGCTATTCAGCAGGTTCTGATCAGTTCTGGAGAACCGGTAGCAGAAATATTTAGTAGTTTGGAGAACCGGCAAATACCACCTCTGACTGGCCCCGCCCCCATCTATTCTCTGCCTCTCGAGTCCCAGCTGATTGGCTGGGTCTTCTTTTGTTGCCCTGCACAGGAGAACAGAGCTGGAAAGCAGGTTAGTGGGATGGGGAGGGAATGGGGATTTTACAGTATCCTTCCCCTGCCACGCCCACCAAGCCACACCTACCAAGCCATGTCCACATAACCGGTAGTAAAAAAATTTGAATCCCACCACTGACTTGGATATATGGAAGTTGAATTCTAAATAAGGAAGAGCACCAGGTTAAGGGAAGGTGATGCTGAACACTCAAAGGCAGTTGGAAAGCCTCCACATATTTGCACTTAAATTGGGTGTGCTGTTACCAGGCTAGTCTACACACGGATATCTCTCAGTCATTAGTCTTGTGCATAAATAATACAGGTAGTCCTCAACTTACGACCACTGTTGAGTCCAAAATTTATGTTGCTAAGTGAGACAGTTGTTAAGTGAATTTTGCTCTTTTTTATGACCTTTCTTGCCATATTTGTTGAGTGAATCATTGAAGTTGTTAGATTAGCGACATTGTTAAGTGAATCTGGCCTCCCGGTTGACTTTGCTCATCAGAAAGTCGCAAAAGGTGACCACCTGACCATGGGACACTGCAAACGTCATAAATATGAATCAGTTGCCAAGCATCTGAATTTCAGTCATGTGACCACTGAGATGCTGCAAGGAACATAAGTGTGAAAAATGGTCATGTCACTTTTGTCAGTGCTGTTGTAACTTTAAACGGTCACTAAATAAACTATTGTAAATCAAGGATTACCTGTAAATACATTTGTTATTTAACCATGTATTTTGAAATATGCATTTGATAAAAGTCAGAATTTTATTATTTCAGTAGGTCGTACAACCCAAACAACTTTGTCTGAACCTGGAAGTAAAACAGAGCTTTTCCTAGTTAGTGCTTGAATGAGAGACCTCTTGGGAATTCCAAGGTGGTACTGTAAACCTTGGGTGTTTTTTTTTAAAGACAAGGCAATGACAATTTCTTACTGTATGAATATGTTTATCAAGTTCTAAGTTTTGAAGAAATACTAAACTTCAAACATGACTTGAAAGATACTTTGCCTTGGTAACTTTACTAATTTCCTGATGGGGAGCTGAGTATATTATCACTCATTTAATATCAGTATCCGCCATTTTTCTTATCTAAAATATCCTTTCCCCCACTTAGAATTATCTGTGTAACCTACCAAGTGACATAATATATCTTGTTTGAAGATCTTAAATAAATAATGCTGAAAGTCTAGCAATGTATTTCTCCAGCTATTAAGCAATGGCAATAAAAGAGACCAATCCCATGCTTTTATTGAACAACGTCCTGGGACAGTTCCCAGATATGTGTGTGACTCAGGCATCTATATTATCTGTATCCTTTTGTTTAGAGTCTGTGTGAAGACTTAAGGATCCCAGCATCTCTGTCTAACAATCTGGACAAATGCAGAGAACAGATGTCACTCAGGTTTTAATTGTGGAGTTCTTGATGCTCTCTGAGTTTGATTATATACTGCAAACCCCACACTCATTGGCACTGATGAAGTTAACTTAATTGGGTAATGAAATACCTGCAAGCATACAAGCAAGCTCAGGGAGCACTAAAACCCCCATAATTTGGACAAAGTGTAGCCTCATCTTGCCTGCAGACGCCATATTTCTGGTCACTGTTGGAAGAAGAGAGAAAACATTAAATTATTTTAAAGTTCTGCTACAACACTGCTGTACAAAGTAACGGGGGTTAAAAAATAACAACAACTGAGTCTCTGCATCTCTAACAAAATATCTCTGGATTTTTTTTGGAGGAAGGTTTTCTGTTTCCCTCATTGTGAAATGTGATCCTTTGCCTTTAGCTACACTGTTTTGAAGTAGTTTTATCTTTAGCTTTTAATAATCCTTAGGAAAGGGCACTTAAGAGTTAGGCAGCCTTTGTTTATCGTATTATAGAAATAAAGACTTTTTTAAAATTAGACTTCTGCTGTGCTGAACCAACTGATCTGCAATAAGAATTGGGATAGTGTGAGTACATCCTGCTACATTCCCTTGAGTGCTAATCTCTTCTGTTGAACATACAATACCATAGTGCGCAACACAAAGTCTTCTTACTGGTCTTTCCTGTTTTCTGTCAAAGGACTCTTTATGACCAAACTGAATGGATTAAAAGGAGAGTTAAGCATTTCAGATAACACACGTCTGTGTTTCCATGTCCTCATTTATAGTAATGCTATTTCAATTTTTCTTTCAAATGGCATGGATTCTTTTCATGGTTTTAATTACATATTAAATGTTTGGTCTTTGTAGGTTTTTGGGGAGAAAATGGGAAAATATGCCCCATTTGAGGAAAAATTGTGTTAATTCTTCAGCTCTTGAAGAGTTGTAAAAAACAAAGGCTTCTATGAACTTGATAGCAAAGGATTTATGATCTCTGCCATCAAAATGAAGTCTTTAAAGATATATTATCTGTTAATCTCTCTTTTTTTATATACACTGGACATCTAGTTATAAGGCCACTGCCATATGCCCAAGAAGTTTTGTATATAATTATGTGGGTTGTGTGTATATGTTTACTTCTCTTTTGTCATGTTCTCATCATATGCCAAATAAATCTCTCACTTTAAGTTAAGTACTGAAGAGTACTTATAAGTGCTGTTTATTTTATACAAAGATTTATATCCCTTTCTTCCAACACATATCTATCAGTCAGGGATGATAGGTATCTAAAATTTAGTTTAATAGAGTTTGATCAAATAAGAAAGTTCTTTCTAAACAGCCGTATCTGTGAAACTGATACCCTTGTTTTGGTGGAAGCATGTGTACCTGAATGAAATAGGTTTTAGTTTGATATTTATTTAGTAACTAATTATCTTAGGTCTGCTATGTAGCATTTAATATCTGTAGCTGTTTTTGTTTTACAGTAGATAAATTTCATAGAAGATTTATGGACAAAGATATAAGATACTCTTCTACATCAGCAAGCCTGCAATGTAATATGAATGTAAGTAGCTTTTTTCCTAGCATGTTTTTCCAAAAGTAATCCCATGGAATTTAGCATTACTTATTCCCATCAAAATTGTAGCCTCAATCCATACTTAACATTTAATGGAAGCAAGTTATAAGCTGCTTCCTAAACTTAGAAATTGATTGTAGACATAGGAAGCAAAAACTGAATCTAAATCAGATCTTGAATCTGATTTAGATTTTGAATCTAAATCAGTGGTGGTTTAATACAGAAGACTTTAGAATAGAATAGAATTACAGAGTTGGAAGGGACCTTGGAGGTTTTCTAGTCCAACACCGTACTTAGGCAGGAAACCCTACACCCTTCAGACAAATGGTTATCCAATCTCTTCTTAAAGACTTCCAGTGTTGGAGCATTCACAACTTCTGGAGGCAAGTTGTTCCATTGATTAATGATTCTAACTGTCAGGAAATTTCTCCTAAGTTCTAGGTTGCTTCTCGCCTTGATTAGTTTCTACCCATTGCTTCTTGTCCTGCCTTCAGGTGCTTTAGAGAATAGCTTGACTCCCTCTTCTTTGTGGCAGCCCCTGAGATATTGGAACACTGCTATCATGTCATGACTTTCAGATTAAAGTCTGGAATAGCGGCATGCCTCTTTTCTATTCTATTTTCTCCAAATGTGATGCTGTAGTGATTTCATCTTGATTACATTTGCAGCAGAAGACTTGCTTTAACAATCACATATTCTATGCATAGAGCATAGAGTATTTACTTATTCTGCAATGTTCTAGAACACTAACTTTCACTTCCTCCAAAGCGCAGGTGAGCTATGTTTTGCCTCGAGATAGAGATTTTGGCAGGAGAACCGCATATTTAACTCAGTGTTATTGTGGAATAATACTTTTCTTCCCCTGTTTTTCAGTCATATAAATGATTATTCTCAATAGCTTCATTGCAGAACATGTTTGGAAGTCTCTCATTCAGTATTTTAAGGAGAAAAGCAATTAAGTTCAATCCCCCCCCCCCAATGCTTTCTCATTCCAGTGAAAAGCTTGCAAAGCAATGCAAAGACCTGGGAAAGAACTTTCCAAAACTCTCCACCGGGAAGATAAGGAAGTAAATGAAATGACTGAAGGTGTCTCTTCACTTCCTTCTCCCCTTCTCTGCTTGAGTGGTGAGGGAAACACGCAAGCGGAAATGCTGCAAAAAGCCCAGGAGCTCTTCCGGCTCTGTGACAAGGAGGAGAAGGGCTTCATAACAAGATTTGACATGCAAGTAAGCATCTGACACTGGCTGGCTTCTCAAGACACTGTGCGGTTTGCTTGTTTGTTGTATTGTGTGAATCCAACCACTAGGCTTAGGAACATATCATAGTGCATGGGAAGAAGCATATCACTTTATTTAACAGATTCTGTTCCAAATACAAAGCAGACGATTCAAGTCTGGGCTTTTGAAAACAGTACTGGAGCAAACTAACTATCAGACTGGCATCAAATATGATGCAAGATAATTTTTAATTATTATAGGTTCAGAATAAAATGGTTTTCTGTAAAAGTCTTAGCTTAAATGTAATACTAAAGCTGAAGATTGCTTGGTATTGACCCATGATTGACATTAGTTTTCCCTCTTTCTGTTTAGATATATCCATATGCCTTCAAGTGAATGAAAGGAACGGGGAAAACTGTCATCATTTAACTATTTTAGGTTCTTTTCTGTCATTGGTCAGTCAGCTGCTCAAAGTTTGAAATTTATCTTTCCTTTTTATTTGTTCTACATCTGGAAAGGAGTCCAAATTGCCCATATCATGTTCTGGTTGCTCAGCTAATCCAGTTTAGTACTTCATTACATTTTTTCCAAAGATCCTTTTTCAAAAGGCAACTGGATCTTGTTTTTCCTTGCAGATGTTTTGCTTCTCATCCAAGAAGCTTCTTTAGTTTTTCTTCAGAACTGAAGAAGCTTCTTGGATGAGAAGTGATATTTCTTCAATGAAAAACAAATTCCAGTTGCCTTTTGAAAAAGTACCTTTGGGAAAACCATGACCTGGCTGACTGGGAATCTCAATAGACATTTTTTACTTTGCGTTTTCCTTTTGCCTTTTCTCACAACATACAGAGATAGTTCTTGTTTATGTTGCCTAGTCTGGTGGTGATCTCTTGCTCATTCAATCAGCTAATAATTGTCACAAGAAGATCCACTTTCTGATTGGTTCCTGTTATTTGTTCACCAACTGATAGGCTGTCAACATTCCAACCATCATTTTCTCACCTCTCTTGGTTCTTGACCATCATCTTTTCAGCTTTTCTCCAACATTGGTGTGTTCAGTGTATTTCAAACTTTTTATCATTGTTCGACTCAAAAATGCTGAACATAACCATCTGCCGTAGTCACTATAAATTGCCATAGTATTAATTGGTTAACCTACATTGACAACAAAATCAAAGTTTATGGTTTAATATATGATATGAATCAGTTCTAATTTATTTTATAAACTAAGGTTATATAAGCTTGTGAATTAATATAATGGGTGAATCTTGTATCATCTTCCACATTATCTCTTACTTCCCATGCATGCCGAATTTTTTAAGTGAATTTTTTAAAATAACAAAAAAGTCTTTAAACAAATGTAATACAACATAAAAAAGACCATGCTTCATTTCTTTAAAAACACAAAGTAGTCTGTATACATAAGAAGAAATGGACACATATCTTTTAGATCCATGTATTCATGGATCATCCATGTCCATGTATTCTTATTTAAAACAAGTTTTATTAATTTTTAAAACACACAAATTATCATTATTCATTACATGTTTAAACCTTTTTCCATTGTAAATTTAACAAGTCAGATAAATTATGATTCTATTTTAAACCATTTCCATATAATATACCAAAACCTCTTATTCAATTTCTCTTTACTTCTCTTTACTCTTATTCAATATCATTATTATTATTTCATCTGATTCTTTCTGACTTAGTTACCATTATTCTCATTCTATATTTCTACAAGTTTTTACCAATTCTCCCCCCAAAAAAGACATATACACACAACACACAAAACATAAAAAAAAATCTTTTTGGAAAGTAACTTGGGCCCAGGTATCTCTCTCTTCATGGACTTCAATTATATTCATGCTCATCTTACATATCATTACTTATTTTATTTACCATTCTAAACCTTCTATATTAACTTCTCCACATATTTCACACTTCTTAATTCTACCTTAATTAATCATCTTAGTTTAAATCATTATACTTGTATCTTTTGTCCATTTTTTATCATCCCTTTGTCTCATCCCTTATGAAAAAAAAAGAAAATCAGTTTCTCCTGAAATCATTAATCAGAGTATGATGCCTTTCTATCTCCCCTCTAAGTTAATCAAATTAATCTTTAAAATAATATCTAATACCCAATCAGATTTTGCTTGGTACATTCTATCTAACTAATACATCCAACACAATTAAGTGCATAATTAGACAATAAATCCAAATATTAAAAAGAAATACTATAATAAAAATTTTATAATAACATCAATACCATAATTTTATTAAACTCTTTAATTAAAACAATATTCTAAACCTCTCCTATTATTAAGTTTTAAAGCCAATCATTTTTAAACATTTTAACATTTTAATCTCTTATCAACTCTTAAACCATTGCAATACTACCATCTCATCTTATGTACCTTGCAAAATCTTTTTTTTTTTTTTTTTAAATTATACTTTATCCATTATCCATAAAAAATTCCTTTTTTCCATTTAATTTCAAAACATTGTAGCTTTTCTCCACCTTTTCCCTTTCTTTCTTTTCCCAACAAACCTTTCTACCCCCCCTTCTTCTAGCCTCTGCCTTACCGGCTTCCCTTCTCTGTCGTATTTCTTTTCCCCTTTGTTTACAATCATCATATTGGTTTTGCACTTTATTTTTCCCTTTCTTAAATGTTTTTTTGGATCTTAAGTCCTTAAATCCTTTAGTTTTCTTCTTTTCTCTTCTCTTCTTTTGTTTCTCTCTTCCTTTTTTCTGGATCAAATTCTGAGATTCATTAAAGATGGCTCCTTCCTTTCTTTCTTGTTCCTCTGCTGTCTTCATCTGTTGTAATTTTTGTTGATAATTAGTAAGCGCCATTTCTAAGAAAAGGAAAGCTTCTTCCACACCATCTTTACCATTTTTTTTTGCTTGTTCATATTCTTTTCTTAGTTCCTCAACAGAAAGAGCCATTATAAATCTTTTCTTTTCTTTTCTCCTTCTTTCTTCTTACAACAACCAGAATATTCAAAAGAAAATAAAAAAGATAAAACAGTCCCAAAGTTATCAATCAGTCCAAACCAAGGCAGAGTTCTCACTTTCTCCTTCTGGGGTAATATCAATCAAAGAGAAAGAAAGTCCAAATCTGTTTAAAATCTTATTACAATATATTCTAGTCTTCAAATCCTTAAGGCATCTGCTCCAACAAAGTCTTAGCATACAAATATTTTCTTCTTAATCCTCTCTCTTCCCACTCATCGCTTAAAACCAATTTCCACCTAAAAAAATAGGTTTCTTAATATCCAGTTATTTATTCCGTAGGAAAAGAGGGAAAGCTATCCTTTCAGCACCTTCAAGCAGCCGCTTTTTTCCTCTTCTGGCAGGTATTATTCAGAGAATCATACTTTTCAGGAATTTTATTAAATATGTCTTAGAGTCCTAGGAGCCAAGAAAAACTTTCTCCTCTCAATCACTTTCTCCACTTCCTCCTGCGCATTCTTACCCGGCTGCCAGCTTCTTTGTGGCGGCCATTACGGACCGCCGCTGCACCGTCCTGGGAAAAGGGAGTTCTGCCGGCCAGGGAGGGAGTCTGCAGCACCCCCAAACCCTTCTCCGGATCCCCCCTACTTCAGCTGCCCCTGCAGGGCAGCCTAGCTCCGTACCCGGCTGGGTCGGAGCCCCAAAAACGGCTAGCGCGGCAGGGATCGCGCAGCTTCGCAAATCCCTGCCGCTCGCGAAGCCGACAAACCGGAAGTCCCATGTCCATGTATTCTTATGTATATAGACATATCTAAAAGATATGTGGACATATATCTAAATTTTACCTAGAGGCAGCAAAATTCTTCACACAGATTCTTGAAGGATAGGTACAGATACTGTGTCTAATTCACACCTGCATCAGCAACTACTCCCAAAGCAAGGAAGGCTTCAGAATAAATCTGAAAGAAAGTACAGGTATTGTGATGCCTGTCATAGCATAAATGCAACTTTGGCTTAAATTGCCATCTTTCTATGTCTTTCTATGCAATGAAGAAATAAAACACATGAAGGCTATTGAAGGGATATAAATCTAAAAAAAAAAGCTTATCCTGGTCCCTTCTTTTGCATATATTTGCATACTTTGAAGAATGCTGTTAAAGGAGCAGAAGAAATAGAATGGTTGCAGCTACAAATTGCAGCTAAGTTGGACAGAGTATGAGAACTTAGAGAACACCCAGTTTCTGCCCTGGCAAAATAGAATGTTCATTGTTTATATCAGCGGCCCCCAACCTTTTCTGTGCCACGGCCCGGTACCGGCATCACAAAATGATCCGCGGCCCAGTACTGGCATCAGCACGCATGACAAGGCAAGGCGAGCCGAGTGACCGGCCAGCCAGCCGTCCCCCGGTTCTCCCCGCCACCTTCAACTCCTCCTTTGTACCTTTGTCGATGGGCTTCGCTTCGGGACGGTCGCTCGGCTCGCCTTGCCTTGGGTGCTGAAAGAATCCTCGCGCCTTAGTTTCATTCAAAGCCCCCCCCCCCTTCGATGAAACTAAGGCGCGAGGATTCTTTCAGCACCCAAACGCCGCTTTCCAACCGGAAAAGCTCACCCGGAAGCACTTTCTCGTCAAACAAGATGGCGGCACCCAGCAAACCGGCGGCCCGGTAGGAAATGTTCCACGGACCGGTATCGGTCCGCGGCCCAGTGGTTGGGGACCCCTGGTTTATATGACACCTGCCAATTTTCCACGAGTTGCATACCAGTAAGGTTATTCAGGACTTCATTCTCTGGTTTATCATACTAAATGCTAATTATAATTATAGACTATGGTGGTTAAGACTCACCTTAACTAGAAATTCTACCCATTAATATGAGTTTAGAGCAGAAAATGCAAGAGTGTAAATCGTCAGATCCACGTTTTCAAGGAAAGGTTCCCCCCCCCCATTTTTTTCATCTGCCATTGTACAATAACTTGGCAAGCTTAGTTCTTTGGAGACAATTGGGGAAATGAAGTGAGAATAATGTTTTATATTTGTTCTGTTAATTATAGATCTAAATCCTGAATCTGATCCTCTTTTTTCTTCTTTTCCACAGCGGTTACAAAGTGAACTACCATTCACGACTGAACAGCTGGAAGCTGTTTTTGACAGTCTGGTGCAGGACAATAATGGTTACCTCACCCCAGTAGAATTCAGTGTAGGCCTAGGTAAGAGAAGAAGGAGAAGGAGAGTTTGGAAGGTGATGATGGTTACATGTGGAACAATGATGGCTGCTTTTGTTGAAGGCAAACGGTAGGCAGGAAATCCATATTTCTGTTTTCAGACAGCTGAGAGCTGGGAATGGAACCATACTGAGAATTGAGTCTACTGTAGCAGGCACAAGGTAGTAATATATGAAGAATTGAAAATATTGCTCTACTCTGCAGCAAAGATAGACGGATGGATAGACAAGGAGTAGATCCAAGCTGGTGGATTGTTTGTCTTTGCCACTTTACTGTTTAGTAAAACAAACATCATTTACAAATGTTGGTGTACCTTCAGAATTGTTTTGCCCCATGTCTATTCCACAAACAAGTTTCTCAGAGTAGTGAACATCTGGAAGTCATACCAAGCATCATGTTTGTAGAACAGAGTATGGAATATACTTCCTCTTATTGTGAGTCATGTTGGGATGAGGTTTCCTTGCAACAACCTGTTGTCCTATTAAGAAGTCTTCCAACACTTCTCATTTACTGTTAAAATACCCAGCAAGCCAAATCCCCCATGCAGCCAAAGAAGTGGCTACTGTAAAAGAGATCCATTTGCTATGAGCTGGCTTTGAAGGAGGCGAGGTTACTAAAATACCCTTGTGCTGATTAGAAGAAGCCAAGTTCCTCTGTTTAAGAAGACAACTTAAGTCAACAGTTCTAATACTTTGTTACGAAGCAGGCTGATCATAGTGATCAGACCTAGGGAATTGGGTAGGAAAGCAGTGAGAGATTCTGATTTGATGAACTAGAATAGAGACATGATATGGTATATTTTACCCAAAGGGTAAATATCTTGGAGTTCCAAGAATAAACAATTTAGGTATTTGACCTAGGCTACACATTTAGGAGGCAGTAATCACAGTACAACTAGTCCTTAATTTATGACCACAATTGAACCCAAAATTTATGTTACTAAATGAGAAATGTGTTAAGTGAGTTTTGCCCGTTTTATGAATTTTCTTGCCACCTTTGTGAAATGAATCACTGCAGTTGTTAAATCAGTAACACGGTTGTTAAGTGAATCAGGTTTCCCTATTGACCTGGCTTATCAGAAAGTCACAGAAAGGTGATCACATAACCCTGGAACACTGCGACCGTCATAAATATGAGTCAGTTGTTAAGCATCTGAATATAAATCACATGAGCGTGTGGATGCTGTAATGGTCATAAGTGTGAAAAATGGGCATAAGTCACTTTTTTCAGTGTCGTATCTTTGAACAGTCACTAAGCAAACTGTTATAAGTCGAGGACTACCTGCATAGAATATTGCTAGTACTGGTCTAATCCCAGAATAGTTAATGGTTGACTCTCTATCAAGGAATCAGAGCCGCTGTATTAAAAAAAACTGTCAGCTGCAAACAATCAGAACCACTCATAGATAGCTAAAGCAAGCAACTTTATTCTCTTCCTAAATTACAAGAATCTCCCCAGACTGCTCGCCTTTCCTTGGGAACAACCCCATAAGGTTTCGTGAATCTTGGGGGTGGAAGGTTTATGCTTTTCGTAGTTGTGCAAGGATTCTAAGCTAAGCCCATGCTTGACCCCTCCCCCAACTTCTAACCTAACCGGCAGTTTCCCAACAAAAACTCTGAAATCGAGTGTTTGCCAAGCCGATAATAATAATAAGGGGAATGTCACAGTCAGCCTATCAAAAATGAGAAAGCCAGTCAGACAAATCGCTCTGATAAAAATACTGGGGGGTGGGGGGGGTGTAGCAGAGGGAAGGGCATCCCCGGGCTCTGTCATCTGAGCTAAGCAAGACAATTCTAAGGGGGAGTAATAGTAGAAGAAAGCAATATGCCCTCTCTGATAGCAGCTTCCATATTTTGGCACTAATTCACCCCTAACAGCTATTGTGGCAGATATAACACTATGCTACTATTTGTTTTGCCCTTAGTATTGTGTGCAAATCAGGCCAGGTCAGCAAATCATTTAACAAACGATAGTTTTTTAAAAAATTGAGTTATTAATATGTGTAGATGATGATGATGATGATGATGTTGATGATGCGAGATTCAACCATAGTCTTTGTTTGGGTTGCCAGAGTTTAGTCCTGGAAACAAACAATACAGGTAGTCATTGAATTACAACCCTAATGGAGTCTGCCCATTACAGTTGTGAGTCACTGCAGTCCTTAAGTGAGATGCCCTCATAACTGCCTCACTCAACAACCACTGTCCCTCCCCTTCCATACGTGATTGCAATGAGTTGCTAAATGGATGGAGCAAAAGAGCTGTTTGCTGAAGGAGAACAGGCAGTTCCCCTCTGCACAGAACTGGTGATCTGGATGACCTGAGCTTCTTTGATCTGTCCCAGGAAGCCATATTGGCTTCCCTCACCACCATGCACTAGAAAATTAGAAAGCCTTTCTCTGTAGCCCAGGGTGGGGGGTGGGGAGTCAGCCCACTGCTCAGGGAAGTGAAGCTGTCCTAACTTTGTTCCTCCATACAACATGTCCCTGCACTGCCTTCCCTGGCCAGAGGAAAAGCTGCCTCTCTAACTGCCTCTCTAACTAGGGTGTGTGTGTGTGTGTGAGAGAGAGGGGGGGGGGGAGAGGCGGAAGTGGTACACTGTTTAGAGAAACAGAATGGCTTGTGACCTCCTCATCCAGCTTTCCTGTTGACTTTCTCAGGAAGCTGGCAGGGATGATTGCAAATGGTGATCACACAAGGTTGCTAACAGCCCAAATTGCAATCACATGACTGCAGGGGCTCTGCAATGTCCGTGACTGTGGACATCAATCATATGTACCTTCGTTCAGCACCATGTTAGTTTCCGATAGTTGCTGAATGAATAGCTGTAAGTTGAAGACCACCTGTATGGAATAGCAGAGAACATTTTTAAGATGGTGAAGCTGCCCTACTAGTATGATTGACTATAGTTTCCAGAATTTGCAGCCAGCATGGTGAAAGTTCTGAGGTTTATACTCAAACATACTTAAATAATTAATTAAGTGAGGGAAGGGTGATAAGCAGAATTACTTTCATTGTCACAGAATAACCACAGTTCACTGCATAAATTATGTGGGTGGGCTAAGGATGGCCAGTCCTATTCTTCTTTGGACAACCCAGGTAGCTAGTGTGATTTAGAAAGCCACTTTCTAAGTTAAAATGGGGCTATGGATTTGCTATTTCACAAAGGGTCTTTAATTTTGCTTCCCGAATTAATTATTTGGCCCTGATGCTGCAGTCTGGGACTTTGTCTTGAAGTTGGTAACTTCAGTGAGCTTCCAGTCAGTATTGTACTTCTCTCTCTTTACAAACTAGCCCAGAGCAAAAGAACCCTAAAGCAAATTTCCTTCCTATGGTGATCTGCAAGGTGATCTCATTTCGTTCCCTTATTTTCATAGGGAAGTTCTTTGGAAACAAGCCACACCAAAACTCTGAAAATGCCGGTCACGAGGAGACCTTTGAGTCTAGCTGGTCGGAGGAATTGGAGCAGACAGATGAAGGGGAGAAACAGTTTTGCTCTGTGCTGGAGCAGCTGGAAGCATCCCAGGTCTTTGAAGAGTAAGATGGAATTCTCCAATCTGTTTTTTCTATTAGAGTATGATTATGATAATGGTTGAATTCAACAGCCTTACGTTCAAAAAAGGGTTGCCTTGAATTTTGTACGGCATCTCTTTTCTGTATAATTAGTGAGCTATATCTATTGCCTTTAATCTGTAGAATAGGGGTGAAGACCCTCTGACTCTCCAGCTGCTGCTGAATTACAGCTCCTAATATCTCTTACCAGTGGTCCCATTGACTAGAACTAAGGCCATAGTGGGCTATGGATTTCTTATGCCCATGGCAGAATGTTGCTAACTCTTCTGCTTTTCTGTTGCTAGGCCAAGAAGGACTAATGCATGATGTTGTGACAATATTAGTGAAGGAAGAAGAGTAAAAATTGGAAAATTTGGGTTGGTAATGTAATAAAAGTCAACCAAAACTATTTTGAGGAGGGAAATGTGCAAACCTAATGTCCAGAAAAAGCTCAGACTTTAAGATTTATGTCTTTCCTTTTGTGGTCTGCTTGTTCTTATCATAAGGAAGTGTGGGTAGGAATAGAACTTAAAGTAGTGTCTTTAAAAACATTTTGCTGGGATCTCCATTGCCTTTACTCCAGTCAGGGTGAAGTTCAAGAGCTTTGGGTTCGAATCCGAAAAGGGGCACCAGAACTCCTAGCCAGTTTCGAAGAGTTTCTTTTCCATATTTCCTCATACATCAAGGATCTGCACCATGAGAAAGAATCCATTGAACTGGTATTAAAACGGTAAGCAATTTCCATAATGTCTTAATGGCCTCTTTTATTAAGTTGAAGACTGGGACATTGGCTTCCCATGGACCATCAACAGGGACTAGCAGAATGTGGGAATCTAGAGGAAAGACTATGTTTTCCAAGTATGATAGTCCTAAAGTTTTAATTTAGAAGGCATCCTTTCTGTAAAATATTGTTGATGATAAAATATTCATGCATAGCATGGAGGCATAGTTGAAGTAAAATATGGGGCTTAACTTTGATGCCAAGATTAGCCAACTGTTTGTGAATAAAACAAAATAGATAAAATGTCAGTAATTTAAATCAGTCATTGTGTCAATTTAATATAAAACACGATTAATCTAATCTTTTATTTTATAATCATTTGATACACAACGAGTCTTACTGGAATAATTTTTCCAGCCTAGCTACAGTTGCTAAAGATTGCAGATAGGATTGTAAAACTTACAGCAAACATTAACTGTACAGAAACAACATATTAAGCCTATTATAAAGAATCCTGAGTTTTTCTTTTTATGAATTTTTCTTTTTATGGGCAGCAACTATTTAAACATTCAGATATTTTTGTAGGACTGTGAGAGTGCCATAATTAATATGTGAAAAGTGACAAGGGTGTATCATGTGATGAAGTGGAATGTATTTATTTTGCTTTAAAGAAAAGATTTCTCCCGTTCTCTTACTTTGTTTTCATTTTTTGTTTATTTTACCCAACCCAATGTTTTTCAGACTTGGCAACTTTAATATGTGTGAACTTCAGCTATGAGAGTTCTCCAGCCAGCATTGTTGCCAAGTTTGAAATACACCGGTATACACTTTTTCCACATCTTCTTCCTGCTCTATTTTTTTAGAAGAGAGACTGACCATGACCGAGAAATCAGGTGTCTCTATGAGGAAATGGAGCAACAAATTAAAGCTGAAAGGGAGCGGCTGGTCCAGCAGGTAAACCCCTGTCCTGCACACAATCCTAACCCTTGATTACTCCTATGATGTTCGGCAAATGCTCGGGATGATTTTATGGAGGAAGAAAGAAATTGAAAGGAACACCTGTTCCTCTGCTTTTTTTTTTTTTTTTTTTGCAGGAGTCATCAACAAGGCTCGAGAAAAACAACATGTTTCAGAAAGAGTTGCATAACAAAGAGCAAGAATTTGAGAAAATTCTTTACCGGCAGAAAAAGGTGACTGAGGCCTGCTTCTCATCCTTTCATGATTACAACCAAGTTATCATTCAGTAAAGGAGTAACAATTTTTACTCTAAACTATCCTTCCCAATCTAGTGTTCCCTAAATATACTGGATTATGATTTCCAGAATCCTTGATAAATGTTTGGAGGATATGGAATAGAGAAAGGCTGCTACAAACTATTTGTTGATTCCATCAAGAGAAACTCATGGGTTAAAAGTTTTTAAGTTTTTTTGTATATGCACAAGTAATGCAAAGATGCATTGGAAAGTACATCTTGTCTGGCTGGCAGTATTTTTTTGCAGAACTAGAACTGGATTAGGGTACAAGAGGTTATTGTACACATTCCAAATTAAGATGTAGACCTGTTGGGAAAGGAAGAAGTAAAATACTTTCTGCTCTATTTATTATTTCATCATTCTTGGTCCATTTGGTTCCAATAAGCATGAGTGTTATCATCTCTAGGCTTTCTATTGTCCTTTCATTGCCATGTTACATCAAAATATGATTGAAAGCTATAATATGAAAGCTTTGTGGGTTGTTGTTTTTTACAGTCTTTGATTTGTGACTTGGATCTTGGATTTGGATCTAAATTCAAGAAAATGATTGGCACAATTTATTCAAACCAAAAAGCTAGGGTAATTATAAATGGGGAGATTACTGAAAACTTTAAGATTATGAAAGGTGTTAGGCAGGGATGTCCAATGTCACCTCTGCTTTTTTTCTTGACCATCGAAGTGCTTTTAAATCAGATTAGACAAAGAAAGGAGATAATTGGACTGAAGAGCAAAAAAGAAGAATATAAAGTACAGGCGTTTGGGGATGACTTAGTGTTTTTTGTGGAAGATCCAATGGAGTCAGGGACCTATCTAATTCAAGAATTAGAAGAATATGGGGCGGTAGCAGGACTAAAAATTAATAAAGATAAAACAAAAGTAATAACCAAAAACTTGATAGAAAGTAAAAAAAAAACAATTGGAAAGGAAATTGGGATTACAAAGTGTCAAAAAACTTAAATATCTAGGAATTTGGTTAATAGGAAGATGCTCTTCCATAAAAGAGGATAATTATATGAAATTACTTTTACAGATAAAGAAAGATCTGGCCAATTGGGGAAAATTACAACTATCACACTATTAGGCCGAATAGCAGCCATAAAAATGAACATACTACCGAAACTATTATACTATTTTCAAACAATACCTATAAAATTGGATAAGAATTTTTTTCAGGAATTAGATAGGATGGTAATGAAATTTATATGGATGGGGAAAAAAGCACATATAAAATTGAAAACATTACAAGATAGTAGAACCAGAGGCAGCCATGGACTCCCAAAATGGGAAACATATTATCAAGCAGCAATTTTACTATGGGTTAAGGAGTGGATAAACTTAAAAAACAAAAGAATTTTGGCGATAGAAGGTCATGACCTCCAAATTGGGTGGTATGCCTTTCTATGGGATAAAAAGAATAAGATACACTCCTATTTCCATAGACATTTGATAAGGGACTCACTTTTACAAACATGGGAGAAAATTTTTAAAAAAGCATTATTTGAAAGGACCAAACTGGATCTCACCTATGGAAGCTATATTATATCCAAATACAAGGGACATTAAAAAAATGATTAGATATAAAGAATTGGTAGATGAACAGGGGGAATTAAAAACACTAGATAAACTAAAAGAACAAGGGATAATATTAGACTGGTGGGTATATTTGCAAATTCAAACTAAATTTAAGAAAGATGTAAAGGAGCTAGGGATAGATAAAGATTTACAAAAATTGGACCAAACCTTGACAGGCAAAGATATAAAATTTATAACATGAACATATAATTATTTACTGGAGGTAGAACTAGAGGAGGAAATTGTTAAGGGACCAATGATTGCCTGGGCGAGAAATGTGGGTCATAATATAAATTTGGATGAGTGGGAAAAAGACTTGGACCGAAAACTGAAAGCTAACTTTGTCGACGGCATTCAAAGAAAATCAATATAAAATGTTTTGTAGATGGCACTTAGTGCTGGCACGACTGGCGAAAATGTATCCAACCTTGAAACCAGAATGCTGGAAGTGCAAACAAAAGAAAGGAACGTTTTGCCATATGGGGTGGCAATCTATAGAGGTCAAAAAATACTGGAAGAAAATACAGAGATGGCTTTTTGAGATTACAAAATATAAATTGAATTTGGAACCCAAAATGTTTTTATTAGGTATGATCAAAGGGAATTTGAGTAAAGATAAAAGATACCTTATTGTACACATCTTAACTGCAGCAAGAATCGTGTTAGCACAAAATTGGAAGAGTTATAAAATACCACCAGATGAAGTTTTAATTCAAAAAATAATGGTCTGTGCTGAACTAGATAAATTCACTATGGAACTGAAAGGCAAAGAGGATTGAGAATACTATGCGACATGGGAGAGGTGATACGAATGGGTGAAGGATAAGGATAAAAATAATGTATAGTCACAAAATAAGAAACATGTATATACAATGACACAATAACTGTTAATGGAAATGAGATTTTTGTATTTTTTGTTTTTAAAGAATAAAAATTAAAAAAAAAAAACCACTAGAATTGCAGGAATAAATATGATAGGCTTTGAAAAGCTCTTGATTGCAAAGTCAGAATGCATGCATGGATGGAAACATTTCTGTCTGAATACCTTTTTGGAAACTGTAATGGATGAAATCAGTGCTAAAATGGACAAAGCCATCTTCTATTTAAGGAAAGATATAAGTTTAAAATGCCCATTTGAAGAGGGATGTAGCCTAGCCTGCCACCTCTGTTAAGAAATTGATATCTCATGGTGTGGCGAGCAAATTTCACAAGAGAGTCCTTGCATTTGGAGTGGATACATCTATGATTAAGTCTAACCATACCTAATTGGTTTAAGTAACAGCTGTCTGGTTAAGAGCCAATTACATAATATTGATATAGCAAACTTCATGAAATTCCTGACGTAGGAATACATGACTGTAGGCCAAGTTTCTTCTGAAATCTTATCTTAATCTGCAAGGCTTGGCCCAAATGCTTTTGAATAGTATCTGCTATCCTCCTTTAACCTCCATGCCCATGGCTCTGGCAGGATTTCAACTCCATATTTCACTCTGGTCTGGTACACTAATCACCAAAGTTAGAAGGACTGCGTTTATTCATGTCATAATTGTATAGTTATTCTTCTTGGAGGAACGCAATTTGAGAATTGGGAAATGGAGTTTGTTTGGATAATTATTCTATCCATATTGTTGTAGGCAATTTAAATTTAAATTTATATATATATATGTGTGTGTGTGTGTGTGTGTGTGTGTGTGTATACACATACACACACACACACACATACTCCTAGGATAAAACAATAACAATATTAGATATTATTCTTATTGCAATCCTAGATTTCATTCCAACTATATTTATTTTGTTTTATAAATGTCTATGTTTAGTTGGAACATCAGTTACACTGCCAGCACTCTGAGCAGCTAGAAATGCATATACAAAATGAGAGATTACAAATTCTGAGTGAAAATCTCCTCGATCAGCTGGAGAGGACCAAATGGGAGCTGGAAGCAGCTCAAAGTCGTTTGCAAGAATTGCAGAAAGAAGCCCAGGTAGAGCAGGAACGGAAGAACAGGTACGACCAGGGGTTACAGCAGGATGTAGAATGGTGATAGAATGGAAATATTAGAAAAGCAATGCTGTTGTATGTGGCTGCTGCACATTGATAACTCTTTAAGGGTGAATATTTTCTGGCATTTTGTTTTCCCTACTCAACTGCAATCTTTATAAATCTCAAGTACACAGAGGGCATAGTACCTTTCTTTTCCTTGAGATAAACTAATGATGGAAGGCTTTTTCCAATTACGTTTTTCTAGCAACTTCATGAAGGAATTAGCTTGGATAACAAACACCCCAGCATTTAAATGTAAGGCCTTCTTTTGTCAAAACCTACAGGGCATGACAGTCCTGGAACAAAACGAATATTGTCATTATCTCCACGGAAATCAATTACTTTAATATTTAGAAAAATATGTCATTTGAGAATCACTGTTGCCAGTCAAATAACCAGTTACGGTATGTTATCAAGTGGTAAATAATTTATTTGCTGGTACTTAATTGACCAAAACCTGCTTTCCATGGTAAAGAGAGGTAAGAGAATGGCCCTGTCCTCTGTGCAACAATTTATTGCAGTTTTCCCTGACGCAGTCTATTTTAAATACACGGAACATTAAATCCCAAATGTCTATGCTATCAGGGACGACGGGAGTTTAAATAGAAGCTTAAGGTCAAAGTTGGTGATTGTTGAGAAACAATAACTACCCAGTATACATAGACACAATGTTTTAGGTGAGATGGATGTATGAAAAATAAAGCTACCTAAAAAGCTGTTTTGGTGTGCTCATGTAAACACATACAGATAGTCCTTGATTTACAACCACAATTGGGACCAGAATTTCATTGCTAAGCAAGGCAGTTAAGAAAGTAGTGCCCAATTTTATGACCTTTTTTGGCTACATCTGTTAAACAAATCACTGCAGTTATTAAGTGAGTCACATGGTTGTTCACCAAATCTGGCTTTTCTCATTGACTTTGCTTGCTGGTAGTTGGCTGGGAAGATCATGAATGATTGTCATATGTCTGTGGGATGCTGCAACGGTCATAAATGTGAGGATGGTCATAAGTCACTTTTTACAGTCCTGTTGTAATGTTGAACAGTTGATAAATGAATGTTGTAGGCCGAGGACTCCTTGTGTGTCATTTAACCTGTATCCTTAGGGCCAAACTATACCTTGTGCATACATGCAAGCATTGGAGGAATAAAAATGGGGATGATAAGGACATATGAATATCCTTTGAGAAAAGGCAGCTAAGTAAATATCCATGTCTATAAACCTGTGATAACAATAGGCCATTAACAAATAGTCCAAGTTCATATCATGTACTTAGCCATTGTTTGTTTTAATCATGTTCATGGGTGGGTTTACACTTCATATGAAACCATACATTGGCAAGCTTGCAAATTACCATGACTTGATTCACACCTAGAATTAAGCCCCCCCCCCCCCCCCCCAGCAAGCAAGATTATGCCACTGTGCAGCATGCAAATAAGTAGGGGAGACCTTGTGAGTGTTAATGTACTTAGACCATCCTCCATATACAGTTATTGCCAGCAGGTGTAACACTGCTACGTTTTAACCAATATTAACGTTTTGCAAAAGAATAAAATGCAGGTTTACATATATGAAATCTTTTTTCCCTTGCTTCTACCCCAGAGATATATTTCAAGCTTCTAAGAATATGCAGAAAGAAAAACAAAGCCTCTTGCGTCAGTTGGAGCTCCTCAGGTAAGAAAGTGATCTGAAAAAGAGTATTTGGAAGAGTGAGTGTCTGTTCAGTTACTTGGAAAATACTCGAATACAGCAGCTACAGAAAGTGGACCTCTTTGGGGCAGCCGTCTCCAACCTTTCTATGCCGATGCAAGTTTCTATACAGACATAACTACATGTAAATCAATGTCAGGTACTGTCGTATTATTAGGAAAGGTGTTAATTGGATGGCGATCTATTCGACAAAAGCATCTAAGCTTATCAACAATGGAGGCTGAATTCTCATGTTTGTCTCTATTATGTACAGACTTAGTATGTTATAAACAACTAATGATTGACATGGGAATTAATGTAAAGGAACCGATTGTTGTATATGAAGACAACCAATCAGCAATTCAGATGGCTTCCAATCTCGCTGTAAAGACAATATCAAAACACATTGATCTAAGATATCTAAATGTGGGACAATGTGTTCAAAGTAAAATGATTAAACTGGAGTACTGCATGTCAGAAAATAACATTGCAGATCATTTTACGAAAGCCCAAAACATAGCAGGCACCACCCAAACTGGGTTTCTTATGACCAATTATATCAGCAAACACAACTTCTAAAAGTTCTTTGGTCTTAAACCTATTCAGTCTGTTTGCAGGAGTAACCTTGCTTTTCTCCTGGTTACAGGCATTGCAGTTTAAGTACTTGCTACAGGGTTTTAATTTTACTCCCATTTTGAAATTAATGTACCCCAGACATCTATGCAGTAAATGTATACATTCGTCATGTGGCTTAACATTGTTATAAACCAAGTTAGCCATCTGCAACTGGTCATCATGTATCACATATAAATCATTCTCTAAAATAGCAGTAACACTTTTACCCTCTTTCTCTATTATACAGTTATCTCCCCTAAAGATTACTACATAACCAATATTAACTAAAGCCCTTATTGATAACAAATTAAATTTCAGTTTAGGTATATATAACATAGATAAATGCTCATTTACACATGAACTATATGCAGTACCTTCACCAGATGCTTTCATCTTCCATCCATTTGCCAATGATACATGTTGCTTACTCGAGGACATCTTTACAAACCTCTCTCTATTTCTAGTAATGCACTGTGATGCTCCACTATCAATTACCCACAAATCATGGTTTACAGTTGAATTGCTAGACATAGCTAAATTAACATTCTTCTTAGCCTTCTGGTGATTACCAGTATTCTGTCATTTTCCTTCTTACAGAATCTAGCTATACGTCCCCTAGCCCCACAAGAAAAACATTTCCTAACAGGCAGTTGAAAACAAATCCTCTTCTTGTGGTTGTTTCTCTCTCAGTTGGTCTCTTTCCAGCCTTCTTCTTGCCTCTTCTAACAATCGTCCGGTTATGTCAGTTAATTTCAGTTCATTTCTGGTCAGGACTTCCAGTGAAGATACGTAATCATCATAACTTTCATCCAATGAGGAAAGAATGCTGTAAACCTGATGCAGTTCTGAAAAAATCAGTTCCTTTTCATGTTGTTCTTGAAAAGTTATTTTCATGAAGTTCAAATGAGCTAACATATCTCCACCTTTCAGAAGACGTGCTCTAAACAGTTTACGTGTAAGATGTATGTGTGCACCTACACTGTCACGAACATAAATCCTCTTCAAATTCTCCCAACACCTAGCAGCAGACTCTTCTCCACGAATATGGACTAGCTGCTGGTCACTCAGTGTTAGTCCAATTATACAAAGAGCTTGTTCATTGTTACGTTTAAAGTCATCTAACTTTTTGGCATCATCCTCATTATTTGGATCCCAAGCATTTACATCCAGTGGATCCTGAACTGCAGCCCATAACCTTTCTCTATGCAGAAGTAGACTGCACTTCATTAACCAGGAAACATAGTTTGTTCCATCCAACCAGGTTATCAGTGATAGATTTGTTGACGGTTCTTGTGCCATCTTTACCAGGACAGTAACCCACACTTAAACAGTAAACAACTGTCTGAATACGGTACACTAACTCTCAGTTATCTGAGCCTGGTATGGCCTGGGTCCATAACCAATGTTGAGGTATTCCCCATTAGGGGAATGAGTGCACTCAGGGAAACATAATGAGAGTGATGTTGAATAACACACAACCAGCATACAGATTCACTGAACAGTAAAATGTAGGTTTTACTTCCAGTAAATGGGTAAACAAAGTCCATCAAACAGTCCAAATCATACATGGTCAAAGCAGTTAGTATCAGTCCAGGGATAATCCAAAAACGAAGTCAAGTATCATAAACAGAGTTCAGTAAACGGAGTTTGCTAAAAGTTGCAAGACTCACAACAATCCAAGCAGAATGACGATCAGGCAAAACAGCAAAACAGGAAATGCAAGAGAGAAAGAAACCATGTTTCTGTCTCCATATTATGGCCATTGGAGGAACCTCAGCCAATCACAATTACAGCATTTTCTTAAAGATACAGTATTAAATTACTATCCTGGTTTATATATTGCCAACCCAACTGTTAGATGACTATCATTCCTAACAGATGGTTCTGAGCAAACAGCTGGTGAGCGCACTTGCGTGCACAGCTCTTATTTGCATGAGCGGCAGGCACGTTTGCTGGCCACTCATACAAATGGAGCTGGGCACGCAAGTGGAGCTATGTGCGCAAGTGGAGCTGCGTGTGCACGTCCACCTTGTCCACAGCCCAGTCCTGAACAGACCATGGCCCAGTAGTGGACCACACCCCAGGGGTTGGGGACCCCTTCTTTGAGGAATAGCAATAGCACTTAGACATATATACCACTTCACAGTGCTTTACAGCTCTCTCTAAGCTGTTTACAGAGTCAGCATATTGTCCCCAACATTCTGGGTCCTCATTTTACCAACTTCAGAAGGATCGAAGGCTGAGTTCTCCTTGACCTGGCGAGACTCAAATTGCCTAATTGTTGGCAGCTGGAAGTCAGCAGAAGTAGCCTGCAGTACTGCATTCTAACCACTGCACCACCATGCCTCCTAAATATGTTACACCAGGGTTGTCAAACTCGTCATCACGGCAGCATCACATGACATCGGGACGATTCCCACCTTTGCTAAACTGGACTTGAGGGTGGGCAGCATGTGACACATCCGGCCTGCAGGCCGGGAGTTTGACAGCCCTGTGTTACATGATGGTAGAAGATTAAAATAAATATTAAAAAAGAGGAAGGGAAATGGACTTTTGTAATTGGAGGTTTGTGACTGAATTGCAGGATGGGAAAAATGGAACCTGTCTCTTCCTCCACCTGGGACTAATTCTTCCAGGATGCTTGTGATGTCCCAGTCTTTACCCTTGGAGATACAATTCCATGGAAAGGAACAATATGCACTTAACTCACAGTTAAGAGAAAACACTTCTGTAAGTGTTGGGAGGCCTACAGTGGAATTAGTTGTTAAGAGTTATTGGCCTCATTTACAAATAACAATTACTCAAGATTTATTTTGATCATGGTGTATGGAAGAAACAGAATGATGTCATGCAGACAAACAAAATATACTGGTGTGGCTGAAGTTCCCCCCACCCCTTCATTTATTTTACAGTGGAGTGCCTGAATAAGCTATTTTGTATTCAGAAGAATTATACATGTTAGGTTGTTTATAATTTACTTTGTATAATTAAATATTTGGATGGCCAAAAATTAACCATGGTCTAATATTTGTTGAATCGTTGCTAAAATGGGAAAACTGAACTCAGAAATTTCTTGACTAGCTGACATTGGATTGAACCCATATGAGAGCTACCTTACACGAGCAACTGCTCTCCAGAATTTATTAAATGAAATGTAGGTGCCAAAGAAATTATTGAACTAGCATTTGTGATTGTACAAATAGTTTCTTACTTTCTTTGTCCTCTCTGTCTTCTATTCATACAACAAACTGATTCAAAACTATCTTGCTATTAAAGCCCAGGGTAGTTATCTTATAGTTCACTGAATTATGCAAATTCAGAACATTTGATTAATCACATAAAGCATTGGTAAGTAAACCATAGGTAAGCAGGTAAGGCAAACACAGTATAAGAGTTGTTAATGGTTGTCAATGGTTTTGAAATCTTCTATAATCTGCTGCCTTCAAATGTGACCAGAAATTATGGGAGCTGTAGTACATCATACTAGTAGAGAAGTCAAATCATTTCTGCACGAGTGACTTGCAATCTGTCAGAACTGTGCAACCATCATTTTGCCAAAATATCAGAAATCTGAACAGGCCTTATATTACTTTAGAAATCACTAGGCAATACTATAAATACATTCTATGTCACTAGCATGGAAATTATTTACATTTGGGTATAGGGAAAGGGCAAAGTGAACGTTGTAGCCATAACACTTGCATTTGTCTTGCTTGCCTCTGGAGCAGGGAGATGAACAAAAACCTGCGAGATGAGAGAGACACAGTTGAAGCTAAGAAGATGGTCAGTCTGAAAAAGAACGTTTTAATCCCCAGTCACTGCTCCTTTGCCTGCTGTCGTTGCTGCCATCCCTTGGGGACATTTCATTTACCTGGGGGATACTAACAGAAACACAGAGTTTAATTATCTTTTGTAAGGATGTTTCTTTTCTAAGTCTAAATGGAGAGAGGACTGCATTTTTGCAAACCCCAGTCATTGCCAAAAAAACAAAAACAAAAACCAGCATAGCTTGTTGCCTATTTCTGATTGTAGAGGAAAGACTATAAGCAAATGTTCTTCGGACCGGAAAGCATGGAGAAATGTTTGCACTAAAGGTGAAATACCCATTAACTGAATGTATAGAAAATTGAATTTTCCTCATGCAGTTTATAGAAAAAGTCTTCCCTTTCCCTCTATTGTTTCTAACAACTTGGGAATTTTTACCTGTAAGCCCCATGTCTTACTCTGCAACAGATAGCACTTTGTACCAGCTCTTTTGCCATATTTATTCATGACCGTACTTTTCACGGTTCTCCAATGAGCTGTTCAGAGCATCCAGTAGTGGGAGGTGCTTCAGTCTCTCCTTGGATAGGCTGGGCTTAATTGCAAGGACACTCCTCCTCCTCCACGGGACTCCTCCCTAGCGTCCCCCAGTTTTTGCTCAGCCTTTGTAGGAATAGGCAGCTTTTTCTTTTCCTTGGCCAGAATAGGAGCAAAGACTGCAAAAAAACCCTTCAGGTTTGGTCTGAATTTCTCTTAATTAGGCTCCATGTGTCACCTAAGAGCCACGGCAGCTTCCGATGGCATTCATTCCATCTGGCCGTGGGAGCTCGTAAACACAGTCAGGGAGCGCTCTCAGTGCCCTTGCAGCGGTCTGAGGCATCAAATTCCTAGCCGTGTTTACTCGAGCCCAAACGGTCAGCCCTTGCCATTGTGACTTCCCATTTCTAGCCGCGCTATTGCAAGCGGCGAGCGCGGCTTGATTTAAACGACCGAGGCTTTTTTTCTCCCCACCGAGAACCACCTCTTTTTACCCCTCCTCACCTTTTTCCTATTTGCCGTGGGAAGCCGTTTCAGGCGACTTCACGAGGCGGGAGTTCGCTGCTGGTCTGGTCTTGGCACACAAAATTAACTGCCGGCGCCATTGCGATCACTATAGATCATGTGGCTCTGCACCGTATTTACTCAGGCTTGTGAGAGGCATTATCCCCAATCAGGGTCCTCTTTGCAGAAGCCCAGATCTGTCCATGCCATCCAGGTGCAGTGCTGCTATACCAGTCCAACCTAGCTTCTCAACGACCATACCCATTGCACGAAGGGCCCTCGAGGCCACAGTTACCCCAACGGTGGCTGGACTTCGTCAAGATGAGTCCCTCCCAGAGGAGATCCCTGCGAGGATGAGAGCTTGGATGGAGCTGGTGATACATCAAGGCATTGCAGTGGGGGTATAGCAGACTGTTCTGGCCAGGGAGCACCCGGCAGCTTCTGACTGAGATTCACAATCAGTAGAGTCACTAAGCAGGACGGAGCAGCATTACCCTCAAGTACCTCCCCAAGGGGAGTTTTCTATGATACCAGACATGCCTCACCAGGGCTTACAAGATGAGGGAGGCCAAAATGACCAAATGGTACAAGTCGAGTCAGGGTCAGCACATGACAGCGACCCGGTCCTGTCAGAGGTGGGATCCCATAGAAAGGGGCATGTTGGATGATGAGGGCCTCATCCCCAATCAACTGACATTTATGGGCCTGTTCCGCCCTCAATTATTTAAGTCATTCTTGTTCAAGGCTAAAAACACCACACACCTTGATAAATTGACTCCCTCTTCCCAACCACCAGTATTAGAGGAGGAGTCAGAGGACTTAATTTTTTCCCAACCTGTTACCAAGGTAGACATAATCCCAGTCCCGCACATGTTCTCTGACCTGGTACAAAAACTTCCGCAGCGGTGTATGCCACCCCCATGGGATATGACAGGAAGTTTTACAACCTGGCATCAGACTTCTCTTAACTTCCTGAACACACCAGAGGTTGATGATCCGATTGTAACTTTAGCATCCTCCTCCACGATTCCCAGCGAAGCAGAGGAGGCACTTAAACCAGAAGAGAAGACGGCTGAGTTAGCTTTTCGTAAAGCACATCAGTCAGACACGTGGGCCATAAGAGCAGCATGGCCGCATCTTTTTTTACCAGATCCAACCTTAGGTGGCTCCGTCACGTGAGGGAAACCATTCCGACTTCTGACATCAGGGCACATCAGGACGCACATTCAATGCGGTTAAATTTTCATCAAGGGCCATAGCATCCATGTTAGAGCACGGTGTTTACTATGGCTCGGACACTGGCAAGCTGACACTAAGCACAACTGGAAGCTTGCCTCATCCCACATTTCAGGAGACAAATTGTTTGGCACTGCCCTTGATCTGTATTGGTAGAAACCAGAAATAAGAAAAAGATCCTCCCTTCTCTTTTTCGCAAATCAGATAACAGAAACACCCAGCCCTTTCGGAGGGGTTCCTTTCATCTCTTCTATCAGGGTACATATTCCTCAAGAGAGCCTTTGGATGTAGGCAGGGGCAGTAGTCAGAAAGACCCAATTTTGGGGACAGGAATAGAAGGAGAGGACAGGGTAAGAGACCATTCTGTGGGGCAGGAAACAGGGCTTTCTGCCATCCCAAATAGGGCCAAGGACAATGCTCCCATTGGCGGATGACTAAAACTCTTTGCAGACCAATGGGATTCCTCTACCTCAAACTCCTGGGTCCGAGATACCATTAGATTCGGCTTGGCTCTGGAATTCCAATCCACATCCCCGAACTTCTTCATGACATGCCCACTTTCTAGGGATCCTGTTAAAAGAACTCTTACGGAGACAGCTATCCACCATTTGCTGGAGATCTGTGCCATTCAACCAGTGGCACCAGATCAACAAGGGCACAGTTTTTACTCCCACCTTTTTGTGGTTCCGAAGAGTTTGGAAGCAAGAGAGGGATCACAGTGTAATGGCTTGTTTTACATATCTAAATTAATGTGTGTTATTTGACTGAATATTTCACTATTTCTGTGATTAATTGGTTTGTGGAAGTATCTCCAGGTGAATAATTGATGAGGATACATATTACCATTCCATTGTAAATAGTGAAAGATATCTCTTCTGCTTTGGTAATATTTCCATGTTAATTTTAATTACCCAGGGAAATAACTCTTGCACATTGTTCCCCAAATCCTGTGATGTATTAAACTGGATCATGTACAGATATAAAGGATTAATAAAATCATGTAAATAGAAGTTTCAGTAAATGAAGCTAAATATGAATATAAAATGAACAGTGTGAAGTCTTATTTTGAACACTCTGCATCTTTGCATATTGATCAAGTTGTAAAAGGTTCTGCTGGAAAGATCCAGAGAGGATGACCATCTATGCCAAGTCCTCAAAGTACTTGGAGCCATAGTGTTCCTCCTCTCTTCCTCATAAGTCTTCCAATGTGAATCCAGAGGCCATATTTTTCATTTTTTTGTTGTTGCTTATTTTTGCTCTGTGTATCCAAGACACATAAAATAAAGATCTATTTGTCAAGAAGTAGAATGTTCCATCCACATTTTAAAGCAATGGTAGAGATAGTTCTGGATTACAATGTGACAATGTGTACTAAGCAATGTGGTCATAAAGTACAATGTCACATGACCATGTTGCTTAGCGGTGGCAATCCCAGCAGTCCCAGTTGCCATTGTAACTTCAGGAGGGAAAGTTAAGTGGTAAGAAGCGAGAGTCCCAGTGAATGGCCACTAGAGAGCACAGCTGGGGCCAAGGGATCTTATCCTCTGTAGTGGGTTCAGTGGCAGCAACTTACTGTGGCAACTGGGCTACCATATGCTAAGGGTCTGCCTTAGACCAGATACAGTGTGATCTATTTACTTTTACTTAGAAATAACCCCATTATGTTAAATGAGGCCTAGATAAAAATACGCAGGATTGCAACCACAAAGAACGCAGTCAAAGTAGTCTTTTGCATACAGTATCTCATTTCAAAGTATGTCTACATTCCTCTTTTTGTTTTGCATGGCATCTAGATAAGCTGTTTATTTGGCCATTAGAGATTTATGTATGCATTAGTTGAGACATTGCTGGTTATTTTGTAGCAGATATTTAAAGAAATTGAATCCCAGTGGAGAAAAGGGCCACTTGCTCACTGGTTTGCAATAATTCAGAGAATTATATTATGAACTCTGCTATTTAGAACTTTTACCTATTTACCCCAAAAGCACCAAGAAAGAAAAAGTCCAATAGGATGTGAATTGGATTCTATAAATTGGACGTCATTGTCATCATCTGACATTCTCCTAACTTTATTCCCAGGCTGCTACGTCTCTTAGCCTTCCTGGACCGCATGTCTCCCTCCTGGGAGCAGATGCCATTTTTGGAGCAGACACAATTCATTATGGCCACTCTGAAAATGGCTTCTGCTTCTGGGACAAAGTCACATGGCCTAGGCCTTAGGGACAGAGCAGTGTGCTCTGCTTCCCTACCAGAGTCTTCAGATTCTAGAGATCTTCTTTAAGGTAAGGGTGCAATCGGTTACTAGTGGTGGGGAGGAGTGTGTGGGAACCAGTGGGGTGAGAGACAGATCCAAGGCCTTCAGGGACCAGGTGAGAGGGAAGCAGGCCCAAAGTCTCAGGATCCTGAGGAGTGGGATGGGGAGAAGATAGGAACACTGTAATGTATCTGTGGTCAGTCATAAAGGAGAATGACTTCACGCTGACCATAACTTTGAAATCAAGTCATAATTTGCTCAGTTTTAGCTTTGAATTATTAGAACATGTTTTATTATATAGTATTAGAATATTTTATTTGAGCAGTCGCACTTTTATTAAGGCCATGTCTCCTTTTAATATACTTTTAAGATTTGTAAGGCTTCTCACACTTCATTGTTCACAAACTTTTAAAGTAGTTTACCCAGCGGATTGAGATAAAGTATACATTTTAATGAAAGATAAGGTATACATTCCAAGGATAGTTTCTCCTTGGATAAGAAGAAACCTTAGAAGCCCTGGCAAGGAAAGAAATTCCTTATATGGAATGATGTGTGGAGGAAAATGAGTGATTGGATAAGGGGTTTGTATTCTATAGGAGGGACTGATTTTAATGCATATAACCTGTGCTGGATGAAGGGAGCCTTTGCAAGAGTCCACCTACTATATGGCTTGATATCATTGTCCTTAGGTGAAAAATAAAGAACCTAATTTCATGCGGCTGCCTGATGTTTTTTATCAACCTGATTCAGAATGAACTGAATAAGGAATCAAATATTTCAGCAGAATGGTTGCAAGTCAAGGATAACCCGTTATGAGAGGTAATAAAAATTCATTTTCCCAACCAATGTGTGCCTTTATGACCAAATTTCATGTTCTTGACAATAATACACAATGCAGTGATGGGATTCAACTTTTTTTAACCACTGGTTCTGTGGGCGTGGCTTAGTGGGTGCACTTCACACCAAATGCGTGCTTTGCGCGCGCACAGTGGGTTTGATGCTGACTTTTTCCTGCAATCCTGCACTCACCCTGTGTCTTCAACAGCTGGTGCGTGGCAATCCGCTGTGCTGCGTGAAGCAGCTGAGCTTCAAAACCAGGAAATAAAGATCAGTATAGAGCCGGGGCAGGTGGGAGGGCCCAGCAGCTGGTTGTTGGAGCAAACTGGTTCGCTCACAGATGTTCCTGAGAGCTACCAGTTTGGCCGAGCCAGGCCGAACCGGTAGAATACCACCCCTGGCACAATGGGTCGAGAGTAAGGATGGCATAGCTATACTACAGAACACTTTCTCAAACAAAACAGTAGCAACCTATGATATTCATAGCTTCTTTCTCTGCCTTCTCTCTCTCAGTCACATGTTCACTCAGTGGCCATAACAACCTGATTGTTGGAATGGAAGTTGGTCATTAAACGAGGTGTAGTATAACTGAGTCTATACAGCATTCAAATAACCTTGATGTGTTTGCACTTTTTAAAGCCTAGCCTTATATCAGGAGGCATCATCTGTAGAAACTGAAGCGAAACAGATCACATTGTTATTTTCATAACTCCCATAAAGGATGACTGAAGGGAAGTTGCATTTCCATGATTGAGAAGGGCTTCGAAAAGCACCAGTTGAGCATTTTCTGGAAGCAAACATCTGAGGAAGACAAATGACTGGTTCTTCCTGCAATTAAAGCTAAAATGGCCACAAAAAGACATGCCTGCAGCAGCCTAACATAGCCAATAAGAACTGGGAACACTTGCCTCTATTTCATTGGAAACAATACCATCAGTGAAACATCATGTTCATGGCAAAATTGTATCTACATTAGTGGGGAAAAGACTTGGAACAACTAAAGGTGTATATGTACTTCAGCTCTGGCTGGGATTGAGAGAAAGGCAATACAGGTAGTCATTTGACTTATGACCATAATTGAACCCTAAATTTGTTTTGCTAAGCAACAGTTGTTAAGTGAATTTCACTCCATTTTACGACCTTTCTTGCCATAATTGTTAAGTGAATCACTGCGGGTGTTAAGTTGGTAGCATGGTTGTTACCGTTGACTTTGCTTGTCGGAACACCACAAACGGGGATCCCATGATCCCATTAGTACACTGCAACTCACAAATACAAATCAGTTGTCAAGCGGCTGAATTTTGATCATGTGACCAATGGACATAAGTGTGGAAAATGGTCATAAGTCACTTTTTTCAGTGCTGTTGTAACACTAAATGAATGGTTGTAAGTCAAGGACTACCTGTATCATGAGGACATTTCATATTTAAAACATGGTTACTGGGAAATGTTTGTGCCCAATAAGGAGAAACAAGGAAGAGACATGGATTGAAATGGGATTTGCTTCTTTGTGGCTTAGTAGTGTGTTTGTATGCAACATGTTGAAGCTGTTGTTGTTCAACAATTTTCAAACTTTTAGCATTCACTTTGTAGTGATGATAATGCTCAAGTAGATGAGAGTCACATTTAAAATACAGTAATGATATTGGATGAATGGTTATTATCTAACTTTTAGTTGTGCTGATTCATAAAGTAGCCAATAATATAAACTTATCAACATAAGGAGGCCTTGGATACACTGCAGAGTTTCTTCTAGGAACGATAGAAAACAAGCAAGAAGTACAGTAGACAATACTGCTACCCTTCAAAAAGACCTTGACTATGTATCAGAATGGTCAAACAAATAGCAACTTCAAATCTCAACAAATAAATGCTCTGTCTTACATATTGGCAAAAAAACAACAACACCAGAAAATAAAATACAGGCTGAATAGTCAAGACCTTGTTGATGACCCAAACTCTGTCAAGGACCTTGGAGTACTCACCTCTAATGATCTAAGTGCTAGAGCCCACTGCAACTACATAGCCAAAAAGGCATTAAGAGTTGTTAACCTAATCCTACGTAGCTTTTTCTCTGGTAATATCACACTACTAACCAGAGCATACAAAACATTTGCTAGACCAATACTCGAATACAGTTCATCAGTCTGGAACCCACACTACGTATCTGATATTAGCACAATTGAGAAAGTCCAGAAATATTTCACAAGAAGAGTTCTCCACTCCTCTACTCGTTGTAGAATACCTTATGCCACCAGACTTGAAATTCTAGAACTAGAAAACCTTGAACTACGCCGTCTTCGGTCTGATTTAAGCATGGTATATAAAATCATACATTGCAATGTCCTACCTGTCAATGAATACTTCAGCTTCAACCATAACAACACAAGAGCACACAATAGATACAACTCAAGGTTAACCGCACCAAACTTGATTGCAGGAAATACGACTTCAGCAACAGAGTGGTCAATGTCTGGAATACTCTACCCAACTCTGTAGTTTCTTCCCCAAACCCTAAAAACTTTAACCTTAGACTGTCTACTATTGACCTCACTCCTTTCCTAACAGGTCTGCAGGGGGCGTGCATAAGCACACCAACACGCCTACCGTCCCTGTCCTATTGTTTCTTTTATTTTTCTTATATGTACCCATTTCATGTATTCATAACTATGTATACACTTATACTTATTATCTTGTAAACAATTGACAAATCAAATCAAATCAATCAATAAATAAATCCTGCTTGTTTTACTTTTCTTCCTGACATTTTTACTATCAACAAAAACACCACTAGATGGTGCCATTTTTACAGCAGCCAACCTTGTATCAGCGAAAGGAAAGGAACTATGGGCAAGATTTAAAGACTGCACTAGTTCAAGAAAATCCATTGGCGTTTATTGCTGGTTTTATACTTTAAAGTCAAGTTCCGTCTGGTGCAAAATGGAAGTTAATTAGATGATCAAAAATGCCTCCTTTTTCCTATTTTCATATGACAGCTTTCAACTGAAGCACAAAAAGTTCAGATCTCTCTCTCTCTCTCCCTCCCTCCCTCCCTCCATTTTGTTTAATTTGTGAGCAGAATTTGAATAGGTTACAACATTGGCCAGACTAGTGAGATGTTGGATTTCAGTTCCATAAAGCTTAGCCACGCTTAATTTCAACAACGATGTAAGAAATAAATTAAAATACAGTATCAAACTTTT